TAACTTTAGTCTCTGCTTGGACCTCCTCCAGAAAAGCCTTCTAACTACTGTACTTAAATAAAAACACAAGTTAATCTTTCTTTGTCTGCTTTATTTTTCTTTATAGCATTTTTAATCCCAGTTAATATATTTTATTTGTCTTTTTGTTTATCTGTCTTCTCCACCAGAAGGTAAGTTCCATGAGGTAAGCACCTCACTTTGTTTGTCACTCCATCTCCCAGACCAAGAACTGTATAGGCACACTTGCACAATATACATTTCTTGAATGTATAAATGCATGAATAATATATCTATGTGTCCATCTGCTATTCTTACAGTATATATCCTATCTATAATACCCAGATAGTTACTCATAAACTGATAAGACACTGGGTTTTGTTGTTGTTGTTGTTTTGTTTTTTTGATGAGGAGTTTGTCAAAGGTCTCCTAAAGAGTCTGCAAATTTCCACATAAATCATTTTTTTTTTTGTTTGATTTGACACTCATGAAATAAGAAGTTGGGTGAGATTAGACCTTAAGATTAGTTTTATTTATTTATTTACTTTTATTTGATGGGAAGACACCAGAAAGGAAATGGTTTCAGCTCAGGTCATGATCTTAGGGTCAGGGGATCAAGCCCTACATTGGACTCCACACTCAGCAGGGAATCTCCTTGAGATTTTCTCTCTCTCTCTCTGCTTGAGATTCTCTCTCTCTCCCCCCCCACCTGCTTGAGCTCTCTCTCTCTTTTTTTTTTTTTTAAATTTATTTATTTATGATAGTCACAGAGAGAGAGAGAGAGAGAGAGAGAGAGGCAGAGACACAGGCAGAGGGAGAAGCAGGCTCCATGCACCCGGAGCCTGATATGGGATTCGATCCCGGGTCTCCAGGATCGCGCCCTGAGCCAAAGGCAGGCACCAAACCGCTGCGCCACCCAGGGATCCCTAGCTCTCTCTCTTTATTTCTCTCTCTCAAATAAATTTTTTGAAGGGTCATTTCCTCTGCTAAACTGTAACCTAATTCTGAGAAAATAAGCTAGCTTCAAATTACCATCTCTCTAAACACCTCAGCTTCCTTCCCCAAATGTAACCTCTTGGACTTCTGAAACTAAGGCAAAGGAAAGTTCTGGCTAATATCCAGTTTTTTTTCCTTACTAGATACTGGTTAGCAAATTTTGCCAGATAAAACTTAGTAAACTCCACCACATTCCATTATGTGTGGTGTAAAGAGAAAATGAACATGTAAATTCTTATTTATGATCTCAATAGTTCAAAGCTCATGAAAGTAAAACATTTTGCCACAGCTCCCAGGATTTTGCAAAAAAAAAAAAAAAATCAACTGTCCTAGTTCATTCCTTTGGCAATATTCTTTCTCAAGTCAGCCGAATGCAAAGCCTGAATTTCAGCTCCTGTCTTTTAATAGTTCTCTTTTGGGTTGAGAAGCTTCCAGTCTAAGCTCAATCCTATGGATACTGATTGCTTTTCTGAAACATATTATTAAAGTAATTGAAGCCCATTTAGTCTGCGTGCACAATGGTAGGGACACAGATACAAAGGAATTAGTACTTGACAAATTCCTATGATTAGAACAGAAAAGAAAGAACGACAGATAAATTTCACATGGTTTAAAGTCAGACCAAGAGCCCAAAATGAGATGATGTCAATTGCCATTTCACAAGAGAACATCACTATTTCTCTCTACAACTGACTTTAATGGACAAGTTTTTGGATCATGAACTCAAAGTATACTTTCACCATGAATTGTTAAGCTCTAAATAAAATAGCAAGACACTACTTAATAAATGTGAGGTGAGAAGGCTAATTTTCATGGCCAAGGATTCATTTTCTTTTTTAAGATTTTATTTATTTATTCATGAGAGACAGAGAGAGAGAGAGAGGCAGAGACACCAGCAGAGGGAGAAGCAGGCTCCATGCAGGAAGCCTGATGTGGGACCCGATCCCTGGACTCCAGGATCACACCCTGAGCCGGACGCAGGCTCTCAACCACTGAGCCACCCAGGCATCCCAAGGATTCATTTTCTTAATTATGTTTTTCCCCCACATACATAGATGTATCATTTCTGTCATCTCTTCATACAGTTTAAAAATGTTTTAAAAATGTGAAACTTTGGTGTCTGTTTATATGAAATAAACTTATCTGTTATGTTTAACACTAATTTATTTTGTATTTAACAAAAGGTTTTGTTTGCTCCAACTCAGGAACCTACAGGGTTTCACTAGGAGCAAAATTAAAATAGAAGTTAATTATGAGTTTCAAAATTTCAGAAGATGTTTTGAAAGCATAGAATGTTTTTGAAAGCATAGAATTTTAATATTTCCTGAGTTACCTAACAGAGAAGTGCAAACAGGCTGGTTCATGGTGTCATGAAAGGCAGATGTCTGTCTCACTAGTAAACATGTGCTGCCAAATGCTGTCTCTAGATACAAACTGTCTCCTGCCACTTCAAATCATTGTGACCCTTGACTAGTCACCCATTATCTCCTGTTCCACATGGTAGCAACCATAATGGCTCCACAACCCTATCTGAAGAAACAAATATAAGTAAATACAGTTATGACAGGGCAATGACATGAATATGAATATTTACTCTGGTATTTTGCATGTGCAGATATATTTTGTAAATGTGAAAGGTTTTGATTCAACCTTCATTATGGATTTACTTTCAAAATAAAGCAACTTTTTTTTTTGATCAACATAAAATTAAGTTGCCCGCATAGCTATGGTTATGTACAATGAGAGATTTAATATAATTTCCATCTCTTACATAAATACAGTAGTTCAGAATAAAGAACCTTATGTTCAGGTGATCTTTCTCAAGTTTGTATCTAAAAATGGTCAACCAGTCAATGATGGGAAGAAACTTATAAACATGCATTGTCATTTATGAATAAAAAACAGATTTCTTTTCTCCAAGGCAGGGAGGACATTATAATCTGAGCTCATGGGCTTGTAACCATTCATATTCTTTACTTTTTTCACTGGTTTTTAGCTGACCTTTTAGGTTGATTTTCCAAACTAAAGTTTAACCTATAATTAAAAAGTAAAAATTTCTACCATATTCCTTTCTGATTCTAATCCTTTAATGCCTAGACTACTCAATCAATTCATTTTTAAACATTTTATTTTGAAAAAAATATAAATTCATAGGAAAATTATGAATTCATAGGATATGACAGAGAACTGTCATTTACCCTTAATCCCATTTCCCCCAATGGTTACATCTTAGTTAATTATAGTACACTATCAAAAGAAGGAAATAGGCATTCGTATGATGTGTATGTATAGTATGTATAGTTCAATGTCTTTTTAGATTCATGGAAACTCCAAGATACAAAACTAATCTATAAAACTAACATATCATCACAAAGATCTCCCAAATGCTTTCTTTTTTATTTTATTTATTTTATTTTTTTAATTTATGATAGTCACAGAGAGAGAGAGAGAGAGAGAGAGAGAGACAGAAACACAGGCAGAGGGAGAAGCAGGCTCCATGCACCAGGAGCCCGATGTGGGATTCGATCCCGGGTCTCCAGGATCGTGCCCTGGGCCAAAGGCAGGCGCCAGATCGCTGCGCCACCCAGGGATCCCCCCAAATGCTTTCTTTATAATCACATTGGCACACCCTTTCAACATCCTAACCCTTAAGAAACACTAATTTGCTCTCTATAATCATGTTGTTTTGAGAATGTCAAATATAAATGGAATCACACCTTTTGAGATGGGCTTTTTTCACTTAGTACAATGTCCTTGAAATTTATCTAAGTGGTTGCATGTATCAGTACTTTGTTCCTTTTTATTGCTGAGTAATATTCCATGGTTTGAATATAGTGTCATTTGTTTAAATGGTCACCCATCGTGAGATATTTTGGTTGTTTGCAGTTTGAGGCTATTAGGATTAGAGCTGCTATATACAGTAATGTACAGTTTTCTTTGTAGACATAAGTTATCATTTCTCAGAGATAAATGCCTAGGAATGTGATTGCTGGGTCAGATGGGAAGTATATATTATTTTAAGAAACCTCTGCACTACTTTTCAGAACGTCTGCACATCTCCACAAGCAATGTATGTGAGATCTCATTGCTGTGCATCCTTGCCAGCATTTGGTATTATCAGTATTCTTTATTTTAGCTACTCTCATATATGTGTATTAATAGCTTATTGTGATCCTAATTTGCATTTCCCTAATGACCAGTGATGGTGAACATCTTTGTATGTGCTCATTTGCCCTCTGTGTTTGCTCTTTGCTAAAATATCTTTGTATTGTTTGCACATTTTCTAATTGGATTGGTTTTGTTCTATTTCGTTTTCAGAGTTCTTTATATATTCTAAATATGAAACCTCTGTCAGATACGTGGTTTGCAAATATTTTCTCCTGGTGTGTAATTTGTCTTTTTTTATCCTCTTAAGAGGGTTTTTTTTGCAGAGCAAAACTTTTACATTTTAATAAAGTAGAAATTTTTTCTTCTATAGATTTATGTCATGTCTATATACACTCTTCTACCAAGCCCTAAGTCCCAAAGATTTTATTTTACTTTTATGCTAAAATATTTACAGGTTATTTTTCGATCCTATCACTTTTTTAGAAAATTGTAATAAAAATTACCATAAATAAATAGAGTATTACCATCTTAACCATTTTTAAGTGTCCAGTTCAGTAGCATTAAGTATATTCATATTTTTGTAAAACAGATCTCTAGAACTTTTCACTTTGTATGATTGAAACTATACCCACTAAACAACTCCCCTCCAGCCCTGCACTCCTACCTACCACCCCTAGCCAGAGATAACCAGCTGCAGGAACACATTTTTATTGGGCTCTCTTGAGAAGGATGAATTGTTTTATAAAACTTGAATTTCCTATGAGTATAATCAAAGGAAAAATCAGTTTTTTCTATTATTTAGTGCCTTTAAATTCACTTTAAGCCATTATTAAAAGTTTAAAATTCAAATATACTTTCTAATCGTCACAAATCTTTAATTCTAAGGACATTTTATTAAACTTAATTGCATATTAGATACATTCTTTGAGTTATATTCAACAAAAATGTTTTTTTGAAACAATCCAGTAGAGACATTTCTGTGCTATTTACATAATACAGAAAAGCATTAATGAGAATTTAGACACATATGCTAAGAAAACAAAATATTAAAATTATTAGGAAATATGTCATAATAAATCCATGGCCCTCGATTTTTTTTAAAAAAGTAAAGTGTATGGCCAAATTTTTATCTTAAGACATACAAAAGCAGTTAATGTAATCATGTTTTGTGATATTTTTGTAATATTAGATAACATTATAGTTCATTACATATGCAATAAGTCTAATTTTCATTTATCAAATAAAACTTAGAAAAACAAACATTTGTGCTACTCTTGAAGTAAATTACAAATAAGTAGCAAAATCAATTTTGTGAACAAAAGTTCTTAAACATAATAGATAACACAACAAAATAATATATAGATTTCAACCAATACTGTGAACAAGTTGCCCTACCATTTTCTCCTTTGGAAAATGAAAGAGTAGGAAATATAGATGTTACAAGTTAATCATGTGACTAAAAGTAATTTTGACAACGTTATTCAAGAGTGATCTTTACTGGTTTTGTAAGTAAATTTTATTGTAAAAGCATAATCAGGTATTTTTGATTCATTGAGAATCACCTGGGTGTTATTATGACACATTAATCATGAAGATAAGCAAGTCCAAAGAATTGTCCAGTTCATTTCACAGGTTATCAAAAACCTGACTTTCTTTTCCACCTTCTCTTAGGACTGTGAATCATACTTTCGAATGATAATAAATTTTAATCTTATAACTTTTGGAAAGTGATAAATCTTCAAGTTTACTGAATTGTCTCATTCTAGACATTTCTCTATAGTGAGACTCACCTGGCATTTTCTAAAGATAATTCTTTTCCTGATAGTGAATTTTTATCATTCAAACTTGCTACAGATGTTATTGCTATGCCTAGGCTAGAATCTCTATAAAGTAGTTAGCTCCTTCTTAGAGACTAAAAAGGTGAATGTATGGTCTGTTTTCTGTCTGTTGTCCTGGTGAAATGATACATAGGACATTCTTTCATTCGAAGTATTTGGATGATAAAGTGAACGGTCACACTAGCTATTGAAAAGTAAAATGGTGGGGGGTAGGGAGATGCAGAAGAAAGAAAGACTCTCCAAATGAACAAAAGTGTCATGATTCCCCAGCATCACTGCAGGGACACAGGTATGCCATTGCATAGGTCATTACAAGCCCTAAGGATAAGATTGTGGATCTTATCTAACTGACCATCTAAAGAGTAAAAATTTTGTTAAAAGATGCTCGATAAAGATAATAGCCTTATTTTCTAAGGTACATATAAGTAGAAGCTAAAGCTGTTCAACATGGTTGTTAAACCTAGATTCCTGAGAAGGACTCCCTGGATTTCAATCCCAGTTCCAAATACTTCATCTCTCTAAGTTTTGGTTTTCTCATCTCTAATACAGCAGATGATAATAGTTCCGGTAGCAGAAGATGATATGATGTGGAAATTCAATGAGATAACATATGTCAAAGCACTTAGCACAGTGCCTGTCACATGCTAAGCACTCGACAAATATCAGTTATTATTATTTAATGATAGTATATATTCTCAATGAAGAACTCAATTGGGCATGTAAGTGACCTTCTAAATTCAGTGCAAATACTTTCCTAAATATCACAGAACTGAACATAGGCAGTTCCAGTTTTCTTTTTCTCTAGATAGGATATGTTCACAATTAATCAGATTGAAAATAGATATCATGTAAATATATATAATTTAAGTTCCAAAATAATTGAGTCATTCATCTATTTTTCATTCATCCAATAAATATTAATTCAGAGGGTAGCCCAGGTGGCTCAGTGGTTTAGCGCCGCCTTCAGCCCAAGGTGTGATCCTGGAGACCCGGGAGCGAGTCCCACATCAGGCTCCCTGCATGGAGCTTGCTTCTCCCTCTGCCTGTGTCTCTGCCTCTCTCTCTCTCTGTGTCTCTCATGAATAAATAAATAAAAATTAAAAAAAAATTAATTCAGAGCATGCTGTAAGTAGGTCACCATGCCTTTTAATAAATACTGGAACACATACTTGAACTTACTCCCCTATGAAGAGGAACAATGGTAATAGGGAGTAAGGCCCTAATTCATGGCATAACCCTTTTCAATTAGAAAAATTCATTTTCTATAAGGTAGCATAGTAGATATTTAGTATGAATCTTTGTATTAATCTATTTAAATGCCTCAAGATGAAGACCTAAGGAATAAGTGAGCAGAACTTACATTTTTTTTTCTTTTCATGAATATGATTAAAGACAAACTTTCAGTGGTCAAACTAAACAAAGAATGCTTTCTTTGAAAATTTTTGTTTCTTTTAGGGTGAAATTTTGATTGGATTCTGAGATACTCTAAGGTACTATATGGTATTAGTGGGAAAGAGAAATGAGAAATTAGTGGAGGGGGCACAAATACCAACCACTTTCTATAGTACCATGCAAAGGGCTACAATTGCTAAAGTCCTTTATATTTAAAGTCAATACATTATATTATTTAAATAAAAGATAAAAATAAGGTTAACATTCAAACTATCCATGAAAAATAGAGAACAACAGGAATTGAAAAGGGGCATACTCTGTATAACAGTTTAGGAATCGGAACTCTATTTACTTACTAGATATTAATACATTATTAAAATCTGATGGGACATTTTATCCTATTACTATGCAGTTTTCAAAGTAATTGAAACAAGCATTGACTCATAAAGCTTTATCTCATTTAATATATTGCATTTTAATTTTTTTAAATTTTTAAAAATATTTATTATTTCAGAGAGAGAGAGAACAGGGCAGGGGGAGAGGGAGAGAGAGAGAATCCCAAGTAGACTCCAGGCTGAGTGAAGAGCCCAACGTGGGACATGATGTCATGACCCTGAGATCATGACCTGAGCCAAAACCATGAGTCAGTTGCTCAACCAATTTAGTCACCCAGTCACGTATGTATTTTAATTCTGATGTCACAATTTAGATTGTTCTAAAAATAACAAAAAATTAATGAAATTTGATTTTTACTTATACATGATCTGTTCAACACACATTTCGTGACCTCTCTAATTGCACCCTCTCTTTGGTAAGTCCAAGACCCAAGAAGGAGACAAATTTATATTTATAATACAGGGTAAAAGAACACAAAGAAATGTGGAGTTACTTAAACAAATAACATGGTATACACCTCACTGGGTATGAGAGATCCACCAGGAAGTAACGTCAGATTAAAGTTTTGAAAGCTAAACTTGAGTTAATCGGGGAGAAGTACAAGGGGGTAGCATTCTACACTAAATCTCTATATGTTAAGATTAAGTCAAGACATTAGAGATAGATTAGCAATTTGGAAAACTGCAGTATTAAGAAATGGCAAAGGTGAGCCTGAAGAGGCTTGGCATGTAAGCTTCTATATTAAGTTAACATAGCAAGATTTGTATTTAAAAAGATGACTTGGGCAGTTGTACAAAAAAATGGATTAATATAAGATGAGACAGAGGTAGGAAAATCAAGACCGCCACTGTTGGAGTTGTGAGAGTCGGGTGGGGAAGGCAGTAAGGGGATTAATGAGCATTGAGAAGGTCAAAGAAACAGAGATTCATAACTAATGCTATGTTACTTAATAAAGGAGAAGAAAATATCACCATGAATTCTGGGGTTTTGACATAAGTAACCAGGTGCTAGGGAAAAAGAGAAATATACAATGGGAGAAGATTTACATTAGAGCATAAACTTAATATGAAAGTATCTGGGAATTTTAAGACATCATTAAATATACTTATTCTGCAAAACCCTGTTAGATAGAAAGATTAATAGAATTTCCCAAGGTGTCTAATATGTAAACGTGGAGCAGTTTCCTACTTCAGCTTTTCTGCTTACTTAGTATTTTCAGCCAATTTACAATTGGTTATTATGAGTTAATCCATTTATCTTCCACGTGAGGTTAGTTAATGGAAGCATTCCATTTTTAACCTAAATGTCTGAAATAATTTTCCAGAAGTTTCTCCAGAGAGAATCTAAAAAGCCAAAACTCTAATTTTCTGCATATTTTTTCTGCTTAAATTACTGAAATGAATTGCCTTTGCTAGGAAAAATAGCAAGCATTGACACTTTGAATTCAATTTACTATACAGATATTTCAGACTATTTTATCATGGGGCAGCAATTTCTCTTGCTTGAAAAATATCTTAGCCTAAGTAGTATGGCAAAATGGAAGGATACTGCATATGAGCTACAAATTGGTTTTGGTTTTATATAAACCAATCATAAGTATACCATTTGAATTGGACTTAGTCAAATAACAGGTCTAATTTTTCACTGATTCAAGCCGTTTATATTAATTAAGTGACCTAATTGGTTGTCTGCCATCATATAAATACTATCCAAGACAATGTTATCAAATAATGAATTAAACCATGGTGTAAATCATGGTGTATGGCTCTGATACAAAGAATAAAAGGAAATCTGCCATTACTTAAAGGATATATTCTACTTTAAGAAAGCATATATGAAAAAAAAAAGAAAGCATATATGTATGGTTAGCATGCTTCACGCAAAATAGTGCTGCAACAAAATAATGGGCAGCTTCCAAGTCACCACTTTATGTGTATTATTCCTATTAGTAATATTTTTTAACATTAGGATGTTAAACACAGAGAAAGATGCCATATAAATTATAATTTTCACTACCACAATTTTATTATTTTCTCAGTCAGTACCTAGTATACATTTCTATAAAGTATTTCTTCCCCAAATCATTGAACTCCTCCAAATGTTAATCTCCTTGTCACCAAGAACTGTGTGTTCCCTACCACCATCCCAAACTCTTCCCCCTTGGCTTCTGATTGTTCTGAACTCTACTATACTGGACCCACCAGCACTAAGGACACGCAGCAGGCTTCACATTGTTGTCCTCAACCCAATCTAGTATACTGTAGTATGATTTTAATAGTCCACTCAAAGCCATTGACAATGTTTCATGTCTATTCATATTTCATTTAATTTGGTTATGGTGATTTTGTCAAATATTTCAGTTATATATGCAATAGAAACTATTCTAATTTTGAAGGAAAGTCTAAGGCATTTGCAACATCATAGAAGTAATTTAGAACTTCTGGATATCAAAGAAAGGAATCATGACTATAAAGCACTAATAATGCATTTTTAGATATTTAACCACCCAGAGGTATCAGGACACCAGGTGTCGTCAGAGATACCAAGAAACTATGAACCAACCACAGAAGCATCCCTGTAGCAGTGCTATATTATAACTATATGGACCTGTGCCCTATAGCATCAACACCAGGGACAACTTTAAAAATCCAAAAACCATGGCATTTAAAGAATGTTTTACATAAAGACTGAAAGTCATCTTTCCCTGGTGTGTGAAAGCAGTGGAGATGAGAAGAACAAAGGTTGGGAAACATGCTTTTGTGGTGATGGAAGATTTGGGGCAAGTATATAGTTATATTTCCTTGCCTTAAACCAATATTTGTGGAGGAAAAGTATGTTTTTCTTGTAGAGATTGTATAGTAAAGGCAGAAAATATTCATTTCCTAGTAAGGATGTTTTCTTCTAATATGACAGGAGGATGACAATTACATGAAAATTATTAAAAATATTTCTACATAGAGTAAGTATAATTGAGAAAAGAACTTTTTAAGGCAAATGGCAAAAGTTTCTCTTTAAAGAATTCTTTGGTTATAAACAGGTCTTGAATGACATTAGTTCGTGTAGTATTAACTGGTTTTGCTGGTATGTCTTCTGTGCATCTCTTGATGACCAAGATGAAATTAATTATCCTGGGTTATAGCTCATAGAACATATTTAATATAATCGACCTTGATTTAATGTAAAATACTTACAGAATGAAAATATAATCTGAGATAGCATATATCATTACAAAGCTACTGCTGAGCATATTGCATAAACTTTTCAGCTTTTTAAAAATAAAAACTCAGATATTCTTAACAGGAAACATAACAAAGCTGAAGTATAACTGTACATCTTCCCATGACTCTTGACATGATGTTTTTCATTCACTGGCTCACAGATTCCTGAGTTAAATAAAGCAAAATGAAATATAATTAGTATGTCCTAATTATTCTATAACTTATTATCACTTTAGTAAAGCAAAAAGTGCTAGAAAGGAATGATTCAAACGACTGCCAAAACTTAACAGTATTTTCTAAATACTCAGGATAAAAAGGTTGATGAACTATGAAAATTTTGGTTCTAATCAGTAAAGAAAATAAGCTTATGTGGATTCGTTTATAATGCCAAATACATGGGAGTATATGAGAATTAAAAAAGGAAAATCCAGAAAATCTAAGAGAGAAAAAAATAAGACTACATGAAAAGTAGTACAAGGAACTAGCCTGTGGTGACATATATATGTGCATATATATAGGCAATGCAAAAGATTTACTTTTAGATTGGTTGCTACATGTTCTCTGACAGAAAAAAAGATGTCATTTATTTTTGTATAACTATAAAATTTCTCCTATAATATTGTAAACAAGCATATTCAAGCACATAGTGAATGATTAGGTCTTATATGAAACTAGAAAATGTAGCTGGAATAATAGTCTATGTATATTGAATTTTACCTTTTATTTGGAATATCATTTAGAAGTGACTTACATTTTTTCTGTGCCTGGGGGCATTATTTTCTATACCATTGCTATCGTCTGATTTCCTGCACAGAAAAGAAAGAAAATCACTAGATATTTACACTGCATTAAATCAAGTCAATACATCATCTATATCATGGCCATCAGATTAAAATGTAAAAGGTCAGTTGAAACAATTCATTTTTCCTAAAAAAATGTTTTACTCATAATGTTGATTTTGTTTTCATACTGTTGCTTAGAGAAGAGCTGTTGCCACAAATGGCAGTGAACCAAGTTCTGTTTGTTTTATGCAGAGGGAGAACTGCTTCTCTGCCAACATGAGTGAGGACTTGCATATATGGCTATAATTTGTGTGTAGTTGTGAGGCCTGCAAGATAATAGCCAATTAGAAGATCAGCCAACATGTGAGATACACATGCTGTAATCTGACATGTCTATTACAATGAATTAGAGATTATTTTTTAAATTTATTTATTCATGAGAGACACATAGAGAGGCAGAAACAGAAGCAGAGGGAGAAGCAGGCTCCCCGCAAGGAGCCCAATGTAGGACTTGATCCCAGGACCCAGGACTCCAGGATCACGCCCTGAGCCAAAGGCAGACGCTCAACCACTGAGCCACCCAGGTGTCCCATGAAGTAGAGGTTAAATATGATTCTTTGTCTACCCAATGTGCATCAGGGCAATACTACAAAAGGGGGCTTGTCATAAGACAAGAAGGACTAAGCTAGGTAATGATGCATAACGAATACCCTTCTAGGTGTTATGGGCAGGCCTGAGCTCATTAAGCTATTACCAGCAGGTAATAAATTCAACTTAATTAAAATTTGGGGGACGCTGGGGTGGCTCAGTGGTTGAGCACCTGCCTTTGCCTCAGGTCATGATCCCGGGGTCCAGGACTGAGTCCCACATTAGGTGCCCTGCATGGAGCCTGCTTCTCCCTCTGCCTGTGTCTCTGCCTCTCTCTCTCCCTGTCTCCCATGAATACATAAATAAAATCTTTAAAAAAAAAATAAGAATGGGCATCAGTAAAAGAGAACCAGAAAGATAAAACACTCATAGCACTACAAACAAGATGTCCAAGTTTCCTTGGACAGAAAGAGGTGCAGTTTCCTTCCACCTATAATTAAGAGTTTATGCTAAGATAACACTGTTTTGTTTTGTTTTTCCTATCTGAGGTTAGGGAACTCCTGATACAATTATTTCATGCCCTTACTTTAGGAGTTCATATGATGTTGCTTTATCTTACCTGCCATACATGAACAGAGTAAAAATAACTATTTGAATTAGGTCTACGAATATCTAAATGACAGCTGTCCATCCTACTCCTACTCTTTAACCATGGCTATAGACCACACGTCAGAACTTGTGCTGGCTGAGGAAGACAGACTTCAAGTGTCATTCTGTGTTGGTTATATTTGTTCAGGCCTTCCATTTCCTACATTGCCTTCAGCAAATTTAATCTCATCTCATTTTCTTGCTCCATCCCTGGGCAGTGTTACTCAGACTTTAATTCCAGTCTTGGGCACCTCCATCACTGGACTCCATGCTCAGTCCTCTGGCTTAGAAGAACTAGTCACACACATCTTCACTGAACTAAATTACATCCTGATAATTTTCTTCTCAGCCCTCTTCATGTTCCACTCTAAACAAAGGGACTGTAGGAGAACGTGGGGCACAATACGTGTTCTTTCAGAAATAGTAACTAATAGAATTCTAGGCCAGTGATTTTCAATAGGACAGGGACTTAGAATCAGTGATAGACATTTTAAAGAAATACAACCCAGGCACCAATCCCAGAGGTTCTGATCCAGGAGATTCAGTAAAGTCTGAGCAACTGCATTTTTAAGGAACATCCTAAGTGACCAAAAATATAGCCAGGGTTAAGAAATACTGTTTTACACAAATAATACTTCCTCATGGTTATTGAACACCCCTGTGCATCAAAGCCTATGCTAAGCATTTTTACAGATAGAATATCATTTAATCCAAAAGCCTAATATGGCAAATACTATCATTAAAGCCATATTGTTGTGGACAAAATTGAAGTACAGAGAAGAAAAAGGGGGATAGTAATATAGGCAGGCAAACTCCACTTGCCTCTCCACAACACGGATGTGTACAGAAAATAACACACAAATAATATACTCTTGTACTTTTTTCTTAACTGCAAACTTTTGTTTAATTTAAATTCAATTAGCCAACATAAGTACATCATTAGTTTCAGATGTAGACTTTAGTAATTCATCAGTTGTGTATAACACCCAGTGCTCATCACATCATGTGCTCTCCTTAATGCTCATCACTTAGTTACCCCATCCCCCACCCCTCTCCCTTCCAGTAACCCTCAGTTTATTTCCTAGTGTTAAGAGTCTTTCATAGTTTGTCTCCCATTCTGATTTCTTCCCCTATATTCCTCTGTTCTGTTTCACATATTCCACATGAATGAGACCATATAATTATCTTTCTCTGATTGAACTTATTTTGCTCAGCATAATACCCTCCAGTTCTGTCCATGTCAATTGAAATGGTAAAATTTCATCCTATCTGATGGTCGAGTAATATTCCATTGTGTGTGTGTGTGTATATATATATATATATATATATATATATATATATATATTCATCTGTCAATGGACATCTGGGCTCTTTCCATAGTTTGGTTATTATGGACATTGCTGCTGTAAACACTGGAGTACAAGTGCCCCATTTGGATCATAACCTTTGTATCTTTGAGGTAAACACCTAGTCTAACCGCAAACTTTTTATTCCATTTCATATTTATCTGTATTTTACTCAAATGAAACTTTATCTGTAAAAAATAATACTTACAGCTGTTCAATTTGTTCAAATTCTTTCCCATCATCTGTGTAATAAAAGAGGACTTTATTAAGATTGGTTTATTATTCTTATGGAGTATGTATGTTGACTTAACTTTCCCCAAGTTAAGAATGCATCCTGTGGTTTTCCCTCTTTGGAACAAAAGAGAGATGGTACTACATAAGACGCCTGCATGTCCATCACTTCCTCCTCTTTCCCTGCTCTCTGGACCTTACTTGCAATGTTGATCAAGCATAGTCTAGTATCTAGGATTTTCAAGATCAGAATGATTGATTTGTAATTCTTTAAGTTATTAAAAATTTAGTACAAATCAGAAAAGAATATGGAACGTAAGATAAATTTTCTTAGAGGACCATTGTTTTCTCAACCTGGAATCTATCAAGTACATGCTACAAAAATAGAAAACTCACCAGTGTCTCTTTGATGAGAACTCCAGAATGTTTGATAAATATATTCTAAGTGAGTTACCTAAGTGAAAGACTGTCTTTGAGATCTTTTATGTTAAGCTATCACAGAATCTTCTAATATTCTAGTACCAAAGCACCTATCACTTGTCTGGTGTTTAGGTACCAGTAACACCAAAGCAAAAGGAAAAAAAGCTCATTTTTATAACAAATTTTTTAGGAAGTTGAAACAGAAAGACCGTCAATATAAGTTCATAGTGCTGTCACCATTAATACTACATAAATACCCCTCCAACTAACAAAGATTAGATATTTCCCCAAAAATCTAAAGCCACTACTATATTAAGTCATCATGCAAACATTATCTAAAGAAAGAAATCCTACCTGTGAGCTTCTTTTTCTTTTGGGTGTGTGTTTCATAAAGCAGAATAACAGCCACTACAATAACAACTTCAGCAGCTATTCCAAGAAATGGTTTCAGGGGAACCAAATAACTCAGCACAACAAGTTCAATGCGTTGTTCACTCTCGCCTAAGGGGAAAGCTGCACGGCACCAGTAAGATCCCTTATTGTCTTCTGAAAGATGCGTTATCTTGAGCCTTGTCTCATTGGTATTTGTTCCCTTGATCTCATACTTATCATTCATTTGAACATCAATAGGAACCTAATATAAGGAGACATTAAAACCCATTCCTATAACAATCATAAAAGATACATGTTCTGAATGATTGAGTTTTGAGCAAAAGCTATAAAGCATATTAACACTTATGAAAAGTTTACATATCAGAGTCCAAGAGCTTCATCTCCCAAAGATAGCAAAGGGAAGGGGTATTTTAAGTGCTAAGCACTCAGTGTTTGAAACTATAGTGTAGGTTGTCGTGGGTAAATATTAGAATTAAAGATCCAGAAAAACCCAGCCATCTGGGTTTCTCGTTCTGATCCCCAACTAGCTATTCAAAGTACTTCCTCCTTTACAAGAGCAGGTGCACATCAAATCAACTACTGAATTTATGAATTAATGAAACTACTAAGTGTGATCATGCCTGTAAAGGAAGATCACTTGCTCCTGACCCTGGGAGTTCCTCAGACTGGAAATGAGGATGCAATCTTCAGGCTTTTGAAGCTGAGGTAAAGGAAATGGTAAAAGTCCCATGAGCTTGGTATATGTGGTTGTCTGCACACCTGTCTTTTCATATCTGAATTTCTTTCTCAGACAAGCTGGCTTCTGAGATTCACTGGATTTTCCCCAGCCTCTCAAGGGCCATACTAAGCTAGTTTGGAGTTGATTTATTTAATCTGTTCAAATTAAAACTTATTCTCATGCCATTTGATGTGCACTGTGCTATCACTCAACTGCACTGCTCAATAAATGCTAATCTGCATACAAATATTCTTGGAGGTTATCTGATGAAGAACTGTCTGTGAGTTTATTATTTGCTCCCCAAAATTAAAGCAATCTGGCTCCCTATGCACAGCATTGCCTGTGCTGCTTGTTCAAATGTACCCTCTCTAACTCGGAGCTGATAAATCAAAGGAATGCATGTTTAATAGGCACCTCGGGTGATTCCAATGGGGATGGTTGGTCTACATTTTGATAAAACACTTGACTTAAAGTTTTGACCTATACCCTCTTCCCTACACTTCCCTCACAGCCTAATATGACCCAAGTATAGGACCAAATTGAGAGAAAATTACTACAGCAAATGGAGAGAAGCACAGGCTACATTCTAAAAGTTTAATATAATTAGATTTAGGGTTTTTTTTTTCTGTGTAGTGTCACATATAAATAATCTAGGCTATGTATTTCAAGTACTACAACTGATATTTATCTTTATAGATTTACATACATTTTTTTCTAATATTTACCTACACAAAATGATTGCCTTTCCTAATCATCTGTAAGAAGATAAGCAGAAATATTAATGGTTTAAGTCTAAGTGATTTGGAGCTTTCTTTAAAAACTCAAACCAATGTTATCACAGAATCAGTCACTCTCCCTTTTCAGTTCGTCTTCTGGTTCCCTTCAACAGTCTGTGGCGGTAGCAATTCTGTCTAAGAAGGAACCTAGTATTTCATTGTCAGATTTGCACTGTCTTGGGATGCCTGGGTGGCTCAGTGGGTAAGCATCTGCCTTCGGCTCAGGGCATGATCCTGGAGTCCTGGGATTGAGTCCCACATGGGGCTCCCTGCACGGAGCCTGCTTCTCCCTCTGCCTATGTCTCTGTGTCTCTCTCTCATGAATAAATAAATAAAATCTTTAAAAAAAAAAAAAAGATCTGCACTGTCTTGTACTGTCTGCCTTTTCTGGAATTACAGCTTGCCTTTACAGGACTTTAATTTCAATGCTCATTAGTATCAGAGTAGTAGATAGGTATCCCCTGTCTATTTAGGACAACGCCCTAAATTTCCCTGCTATTAGAGAACATTTGGGAGGAAGAAAGAGAGAATTTTTTTTTTCTGAATATCCATGTTTTTCTTATTATCAGCTCTTTGAATAGCCATTAATTTTTTATAGGAATGTAAGTATTTGACTTCCCTTAGGATTCTGGAAGGCCAAAAGAGGCCAATGACACTTACTGAAAGAACCCAGGCCCTCAGTTTTAAGTTACCAAATTTTCATTCTTTTCTCAAATGGCACCACTGTATTGCATTCTATCACAAATGTTTCCAGAGACAGAAGCTGGAAAAGAAAACTACCTTTTTTTCCTAGATACTTTCATGGAATGATAAGAAAAAGAATCTTTTTGTTAGGGTTATTTCTAAACTCATCAATTAAAATTGAATTCTAACTTCCTTCTAAAAAATTTAAATGTTATTAAATCTAAAAAAATGAAGTACCAATTAATAAAACATTTAGAGTCTCTTCAGGTGTAAATTGTAATATGCTAAAAACATGAAATGACAATTCCACTGCTCTTTCTTTATGAAGACATATTAAATAATAAGATAATAGAAGTACAAATAGTCCTAGGAATTCTGAGTCTGTTAATAATCTTATTATTTATGAAATTAAAGTTTTCACTTTATTTTCTTCAAATCAGAGACATATGATCTTACCTGTGCACTCCCATTATTACTGTACCAGGTCCAATTTAAAGAAGAACAGTGTTGACATTTACATATCAAGACAACTGAATCCCCCACATAAGTGATCAATGGTTTGTTTTTCCCTTGAACTTCAGGGACTAAGAAAAATTTAGAGAAATATATGTTACTGAAACAGTTTGAATAGGGAAATGTATTCAAGTTAAAGATAAATTCTCCTTTCATTTTCTCATCAATATTATTTTTTACATAATTTTAGTTTCATATAACATGAAACTATTTTTTTAATTAGAATATAGTTGATACATAGTATTACATTAGTTTCAGGTGTACAACATAGTGATCAGACAAGTGTTCATGTTATGCTATGCTTACCACATACGTAAGTACCAGCTACCACCATGAAATACTATTACAATATCATAGACTATATCCTCTATGCTTTTCCTTTCTCCCCCTGGACTTATCCACTCCATAACCAGAATCCTGTACCTCCCACCCCCTTTTACTCATTTTGTTCATTTCCACCACCACACCTCACCCCTCTGGCAACCACCAGTTTGTGTCTCTATATATGCCTTTTTCTTCTGCTTCTGATTGTTTTGTATGATAAATTTCCTAAGACAGTTCGAGGCAGATGCCATTAGTAACAGAATAAAAATGAGCACTGAATTTAGAAAAATTAAATTTTAAGGATGTGAATAACTTGGTAAAAAAATTAAAACATAAGAACATAAGAAAAGCATTAACAAGACAGCCAACAGCTCCAAGGTAGAATCACTATTATGGAATGTGCACTTATACTAGAGATATAGATTGACCAATAAAGATGACTTTTTTTTTCTTTTACTCATTTTAGCAGGTTTTTGGTTTTATGTTTTGTTTTTCCTTTTTTTTTGTTTGTTTGGCAATAGAAAGTATAAAATCATGTCTAATTTTTTAATGCTATTTTGATAAATTTTATAGATATTATTTGATATTCACTTGTTAGGAATCCTATTTTTATATTTTATTTTGGGGAGGGCTAGGGTAGAAATAGACCCAGTTTTAAGTACTAAAGTTAGATTTCTAGATTAAATACATTTTCTAAGTGCTCTTAGCTTTGTACTACCCAAAGATAATTAGGCATTTGCTGAATGTATGAATCAGAAAGATGAGGAAGGGGGAAATCATTGGTAATGACTCAAAAAGAAATTCTGACTTGTATAACTACCAAAGAAGTGGTAAACTAGGGTTGGAGAATAGGATTTCTTTATAGGTTCTGTCCTTAGGTGATTAAGGTTACACAAAGGTATGGGGAGTCCTTTTTTCCTTATTGTTTAAATTATACCTAAAAACCCTCTCCTTCATCAAGACTGCTGACCAGCAGAATGTTGAATGAGACAGTGTGAATAAAAAAGAGATGCAAACAGGAGGAAGGTATGTCACCCATGACAGCATAAATGCTTCAAGTAATTCATAAGAAAGATAATAGAGCAATCTTTAAGTCAATTGTTCTCACACTTTTCATAACCAGGGAAACATGTTTTGATGAAACTGAATGGTCTACAATTTTACATACCCAAAGATGTGAGCCTCCAATCAGAAATTATAAAACATCCACTAACACTTTATGAAAACCTAGTCAGGTACCACTAGGGCACTCTTGAGAGAGGACAGAGGGAGTATATGTGACTACCTTCATTTAAGACATCCCAGTCAGAAGATAATCTAAGCATTCCTTTTGACTGAGACCACTAGTGTCCCACACTCCCTATTGGTCACCATCAGGCTCGGGAATATTTAGTTAATATGTGGTTAATATGTGTCCATTTCAAAGGTCAGGTCATTAAGTGTTTGAAGGAAGTCAGCACAATGTGATAATAATGTGACAAAGAATTTATTTGGGTCCAGGAAATACATACCTTCAAATTACAGTTTCATTGTTACTAATGTTGAGGACTTAGGTAGGTCATAACCCATCCTACCGTGTTGTTGAAAGGATTAGATAGGAAATCATAATACATAAAGTGTTTGCTGAAGAGTAAACACCACAAAATTTTTATCGTGTACTGGTACTGCTTCTCTTGACTTTTCTCACAATTTGTAATCCCATGGCCTTATTACATAGTTGTCATTAGCCAACTTACTAGGATAGATCATCATCATGTGCAAGAATGATTTCTAGGTCAGCTAGGCATGTGGAACAGAGAAGAAATAATACATAGCTTAAAAAAAAGAGAACTAGAAATTCATCTGAGTACATCTCAGAACTGCAGGAATGCATAAAAACACCCCAAAACATGGGAAAGGCTCCAAACTGAGTCCTTTATAGACCATCCAGCCCATATGAGAGATTAAAATGATGAAAAAATACAAGGGGATGAATTCACAGGGGACAAGGCCCAAAAGGATGAAGAAACAGGAGCTTTGAGATGTGGGTGACAGCACCCATCCATCCTTTAATAACATCTATTAAACAACTTAGTGAAGCTGTAAAACAAATTCTACTGTTTGAAACACACATTCAGGTGCTTGGTGAAAGCAGTTGAATAAGATTTTGTATAAGGATTACAATTTCAGTATAAATTAAAATAATTTAAATCATGGTGCCCATTACTTCTCCTTATCATAACAAGAAATTAAATTGGTTAAAAAGTTAAAAAGAAAATCTTGTTTCCAGACTCTAGTATGTGGAGCAGAAAGAACACATGGAATACTAACTTTATATATTACATAAAATCTAAGAATAAAAAGGGACCCATTCACCACATACCAGCTATAAAAGGAAAAAGCAGAATAAAGCAACACTTCGACATAACCTATGAGTGAAATTTTTAAATAGAAGAATAATTGCTATCCTATTTTTTTATTTAAAAAATTGCATTTTTTTTAAAAATAAAAATAAAGATTGTGTCTCTCACAATCTCATGTAAGTGTTCTACCTTTTAAGCCAAACTACTTTTGTCCAGTTTCCTCCGTCTATGGCTCCCTCCTCTGGGCTCATTGGGGACCCAGATAGCAGTCTAATGCAGGAAAACAACCAATACAAGAAAATTGGACACAACGCTAGGCTCCAAGAGAATAGGCTGACCATCTGTCCTGATATTAACATAAGTGTATTTTAAGTTCTTGAGAAACAAGACAGTAAATTTCAGCATCAAAATGTTACAGGTTTAAATTATGCTGAACCATCGAATATTTCATTCTGTTTCGTTTTTCTTACAATAGATCCAGTTTCCTCACTAGACACACTGGAAGTGGTGGCAACAAAGGCTGGGCAGTGGCCCATGGACTCAAGTCCCTGGTGACCTCTCTAGAAAATCCCTCCTCTCATTCAGCCCTCCAGTTTTCCAGTCCTTGAGAGGAGGATTATCCTGGATTAGTCATGGTCCAGGGCACTGATTTGGCCCTGTTTTCTAGGGATAGAAATCTGGAGGTATAAATAACTCAGCCTCATGCTCAGCATATTTTTCCAGACTCAGAAGAGTATTATTCTCCTGTCCAGAGGAGTAAAGACCAAAATGACCTTGGGCCGTGAAGGAATACATGGCTCTGCTTTGGCTTAAGGTTAGTTTCCTAATTGAAGAAAAAGAAGCCTTCTGTATGGCAAAGCCTTCCAAGAATTCCAACAAGGTTTGTGACCAATACTGGCCACTAATAAAATGTTACTTTGCTTTGGTGTCCCATTTTTTTTGTGTATGTTTCCTTAACTTGAGATTTTGTTGGGAAAAGGAATGACTAAACCAAGTGAGGACAAAGTTATTTGAGGGCCTCCTGACAGAACACTATGATCAACCAGTTCAAGACCACTTCCTAATCATACTTCATTCCAATATGCCCAACACCTGGTGTGGCATTGTTGTTAAATGAAGTCTGAGAACACAGAAACTCTTGGAAAGATAAACCCTACTTTAGGGAAGGCCTCAACTGAAGATCAGCCAATTAAGCTGAGTCAAGCTGGGCTAAAATAAGGATTCTTTTCTGAAGCCACAAAGTTCCTTCCAAACCTCAGGTGAAACAGAAGCACAGTCTTGAGTTCCACGCAAAAAGGTACAACAGTACATATCTGGCATTGTTTTTCAGTAGTGCAGCTCTGTTATAGTTACTTCTCGAGCCAGGCTAGGCTTGCCTCAAAACAAACACTGCTTTGAATGCAGACGCTGAAACCAGCTTTATTGGCCATTAGTTAAGGGCAGTTTCTGCTTTCCCAGCTTGTTGATCTCCCATCCCAGATAACCATCCTCATTCTCAATCTCAGTGTGATTCTTTCTGGGAATTAATTAGGCCATGCTTTATCAGGAAAATATGTATTGAAATATGATCAAAATACTGGAATCTACCCATAGGCCAAGAATCAAAAGTAGAAGAAGGGGCAATATTTGGGGGAAAAAAAACATGGCAAAAAATACACTTTTTTCAGTAAGCCTCTAAGAGGCACAGGACTAGAAATCATGATGAGCAGCTGAAAGGGGCTTTTCAAGAAAATGTTGGGTATTTTTTGAGGTTTAGGTGAGTAACATACGATTATGCTATTAAACCATCCCAATGAAATGTTAAGATCAGGGTACAGACTATGTACTGTGTCATGACTTAGTGATGCCAGAGGGAAACAAAATCAAAATTCTATTTTCTTTTCATCTCTTCTATTTTCTTGACTATGCCCTCAACTATTGGCCAAGAGGACATTAACCATGACTCTGCTACACTTTATATGGTTGACAACAGCCGTGTAGATCTAAATTATAAAATGCACCATGGTCAGGAAACCCTAGTTTGTCTGAACCTCTCCAGAGGTCACAGTTGGTTCTGGGCTGCTACTTATGGTTGAAAATATTTATGCAAAGAAGGACAGCAATTAATGTGTACTGCTGACCTTTTAAAACTTTGGATAAGGCAGGGCAGGTGAGAGTCTTGGGATCAGATGAATCCAAGTTTGAAGATGGTGAAATTGCTGATTCAAACTAGTGTCTAAGAAGATGGAGTCCAAGATTTATTTGGTGATGGTAAAAGCCCTATGGAGTCGTAAAGTTACAGATTTATATTTGCATATTTGTGAACTAGAAAAAAATCAGCCTGGGTCATTTTTCGCTCAAGGACATTTAGGCATTATCAAATTAGGGAAAAGATTCTTCCAACTAGTCAAAGACAACTAGACTTCAACACTGGGATTTGAAGCTGACATTCCAACTGATTCCACCATACTACTATTCCACACTTTGACCCTTTAGATACTTACTAGTGAAGACAGACTAGTCAGCTAGGCCAAGAGAGGTTTCATACCACTTGGTACCATCAAAATCTCACCATGACTTCTAAAAAGTTCTATGTGCTATTACTTATCCTTCACCAACTAAATTTTTGCATCTTTCTACTAAGAGATTTTAACATTGATGAATATTATAGAAGTTTTCAGCAACTATGTCAGAATAGTTGACCTGAGCCTGAGAAACTGTAGCCCACCACTCATCTTTCTTGAATGAAAAGTAATCATCAACTTATTAGCACTTGCAAGCTTCCAGTGTGACTTTTGCTTCTCCTATACCAACAACAGCCAAACACACAAAGTCAGCAAGTTTTGTTTTGTTTTGTTTTGTTTTTTTGCATTGTACTAATTAGTGATGTTGAGGCCCTTTTACAATCTTGTAGTAATAAATCAACCAGCTCCCATAAAGGCAGAAACAGGGGCTTTGCTGATGAATTGTTCTAAGGACTCAGGCTCATGCACTATAGTTGACTCATGTAATCAATAGCAGAACAGGTTTTTTGGCTGAATTTAAAATAGAAGATAAAAAAGCTTTTTCAACCACAGTCTATTGTAACATTGCTAAGAAAAATAATCCTTCTTAGGAAAACCCATAAGCAAGTCATGTGGAGACATAATATTATAGGATATTTATAAAAATATATGCCATCCTATAAACCTTATAGATCTAACTAAATAATACCTATAATATGAATTGTTCTTCAGATGCCTTTAAATTGTAATCAAATGAAATTATTTTTCCAAGCAATATTCAAATTAGATGAATTATAGAAAATTATTATTTTACCAAAGAAGATCTAAAAAGGCCCAATTTACTAATTTTATAAGTATCTTCAAGACATACTTCAAGACATACTTCAAGACATACTCAAAAGTTATATTAATGGTAAGTGGGCATTAAAAACTAAGAAACTGAACTAAACTACTTTAAGAAAACTATAAAAAGATGGGCAGGCCAGGTGGCTCAGAGGTTTAGTGCCACCTTCAGCCCAGGGCCTGATCCTGGAGACCCGGAATTGAGTCCCACTGCTTCTCCCTCTGTCTCTGTCTCTGCCTCTTTCTCTCTCTCTGTGTCTCTCATGAATAAATAAATAAAATCTTCAAAAAAAAAAAAGAAAACTTTTATAAAAAGCAAAAAAAAAAAAAAACCACCAGTAAATATTCAGTGGCTCTTTGCATTCCTCAAGCGCTTGATTTCAAACCTAGGCCTTGTGTTGTTGCTCCTGACACAGCCAGAATCAGCCTCCTGGTCTCAAAATGGATATGAAATCAAGAGGCTTTCTCCAAGACCACTTGGCATTAAATGTATTGCTATACTGAAAAGTGAAATGCTTCTGTTAATCTTCACATTAGAGGCAGGAACTATCACTGCCAAATAATAATTTAAGTAATTTATTATAAGAATGCTAATAGGAAAAGGCATAATATATTCAATATTTAAACTTTGAACAGGTATAACTAGTACATATTTCTAGAAAACAGTCCTGTTTAGATGGGGGGAAAAGCAATTTTTAAAGTTGAATCTCCTGGAGGGGATCCCTGGGTGGCGCAGCGATTTAGCGCCTGCCTTTGGCCCAGGGCGCGATCCTGGAGACCCGGGATCGAATCCCACATCGGGCTCCCAGTGCATGGAGTCTGCTTCTCCCTCTGCCTATGTCTCTGCCTCTCTCTCTGTGTGTGTGACTATCATAAAAAAAAAAAAAAAAAAGTTAAAAAAAAAAAAAGTTGAATCTCCTGGAATCACTTTAAGCCTCAAGATTTGATGAGTACTTCCTCAAAATCTATAGGCTTTCTTTGCATATTTAGAAGAGACTTGATAAAATGTTTATTAGAGGATTGTGTGTGTGTGTGTGTGTGTGTGTGCGTGCCTGTGTTTAATATCCTCTTAGCTCATTAGGAAGGAAAGAAAGTAGGGAGGAGGAAGGTGGGGAGGGAGGGAAGGAAAGAAAAAGGGGAAGGAAGGGAATAAAGGAAGGAAATGTAGGGTGCATCCTTCACTAAATTAAATTAAGCAAACAGGAAAGGAGATTAAGAGAGAATGCACATGATTAAAATAATAAAAGGATGGGAATAGTTTCTGCCTTTGCAGAGACCGGATTGCATAAACACGAGGATTTATTATATTTACCAAGTAGGAACATTTACAAAACCAAATGAAGGAAATGAGTCTGTGAGAACAGAGGGAATATAAGGAGGGATATAGGAGCAGACAATCTTAAATCACGATAATGTTTCTGAGGCCGACCATTCTGCTATTGATGGGGCCTTGGAGACAGTATCCATATTTTGTCAGAGCAGCCAGCCAGACTTCACAATTTTCAGGCAAAGTAGAGAACGATTTCTCATGTACCTTGGGAAATTAATGTGAAGCAAAGCCCAAAATAGTTAATATGGCAACAGACCACATTTCCCAGATACCAGCAGGGACACTATGGTTCACTAATCTATCACAAAATAGGGGTTTTTCATGAAGATAATTACTCAACTCAGTGACTAGTCTTTATTATGAGATTGAGACCTCTAAAGTTTTGGTTTAATGATAGTAAAATACTTTGGTTTTGGGAAGAGCCATGGATTGTATTCTGGAGTTTGTTCTTATTTGAGGAGACCAAAAACAGGCTTCTCCATATTATTTTTAAATTTTATGGATCCCTAAACCCCCAAGTTCTGGACACCAAAGCATATTCTCATAGTTTAGGGGTGCAGTAACTCAGACGCCTAGAGAGATAGTATAAAAGCTCTGAGTTTAGTGAGCTAAACCAATGAATTCAAAAGACTGTTACAAGTAACTGGCAGCCCCATCTTTCAAACTAGTATCTGTGCTTTAAGCTGGGGGAGAGACAGGCATGGAAATGGATAGAAAAAGGAAACTCTACCACTAGGAGGACTGGGAATCTCCACTTTTTAAGGTCACCACTTAGGATTCAGTGAAAAGCTGAAATTCTTTCACTCGTTATGTTTAGTATTGTAATGATAATTTAAAAATTGGGGGATTTAGAATTCTAAGAATATAATGCTGAAGTTATTACTCTATAAACTATTAGTACTAACCTTTGAAATTAAATGTGCCCCTTTGTTCCTTTTCCTCTTCAAGGAAACAAGAATAGCTTCCCATTTGTTTGCTATCAGTGATGATAAACCTAAAGAGAATTTATTAATACAGGCTTAGTTCTCAAAACACTTCTTGATAAAATTGAAAAAGACTCAGCATGTAATCAAAATTCTAAAACAGAAACAATTCTGTAAATATGCAGATTAGAATATTAGCATAACTTTCAAGAGACAGTAAAGAATGCCCAGTCATCAAAAATGTTTCCAAGTTAATGAATTTCATCTAGCTGTGCAGGTTAAAATTTTATGTACTCACATGTACTGTGTATACAGGATGCTTCCTGTTGCATTGGTGTGAATATTCTCAAGTTGTTTATCACCTTTTTTCCAAGTCACATTTACTGAATTCACATTTCCAGATGTTATGAATTGGCATGTAAGTTCTATATTAGAAGGTCGTTCTAAGGTGATATTTTTTTCCACTGGCACACTGGAACGTACTATTAGCCACAGAAGAAAACAAAACAAAAGATGTTTTAAAAGTTACATTTAGGGGAGATTCAATATATAGAAAGGAGTTTTAAGTCATCAGTAATATCGCTTAATCAACAGTTTCTGAATGTAACATTCCTTTGAAGAATTATTCCTCTGTCAACATAGATCTTGTTCCCTTTATTCTCTTCCAGAGTCGCAGCTGAAGAAAAGGTTTGTTACATTACCAGAATAGCAAAAGCCTAAGGCTATAATCTTAATCTCCTTAAAATTTCCAGCTGACAAGGATATAGGGGAAAGAGCACAGTATAAAGGAGTGTCATACGCTCTGACAGTATAGAAACACTCCAAATATAAAAACAAACAAAACCTAAGAGAGAGAATGGAGTAACTGTTTTGACTCCCTTAAGGAATCATGTTATTCGTAGTTATTACAAGAACATTTTGTGTAAAATGTGGATTTGTGTGATACGCGAATTCTATCATTCCTAGTCTCCTTAGTCCTTAAAAACATGTAGGGATTGGATACAGATACAGATGAATGGCAGAGTTCAAACACTTACCCTGTTGTTCTGAATTTTCGCTGAATTTGAAATGCCAGTACAAAGCCATGAGGCCATGTATCAACTATATATAGATACCTATATCCCACTTATGCAGATACTTAAGACTCAACCTGTTTTTGTTTTTTGGTTTTTTGTTTTGTTTTGTTTTGTTTTTGTTTTTTTTGTTTGTTTGTTTGTTTTTTGTTTTAGCAGAGGTAAATAAAAGAAAAATATCAGGCAAGTGCACTCCTCTTCTTATACTAAATGTGCCGCTGGTAACCAGATAATAGAGGAGGAAAATTTTCTTTTTATACAATTCCAGCCAATAAGTGAAGAAATTAGAAATCTGACACAAGGGTGTTGCAACCCCTAGTGAATCATAGATCTAGGCATTTTACATCAACTGCTGCAAACCCTTTCAGACACAGAACTGTATGTTTCCTGAGTAGGAACACCCCACTACTTGGGAAATAGTTTTGTCAAAAAAAAAAAAAGGGTAAAGGGGGAGGGGGTTCTGAAACTAAGTCTCTAGATCCAAGTAACATTTTACTGGAAATACAGAGGATGGAAAAACATATTAAACTGCACCCCATGAAAGTGATCAACGAAATCTAGAGTGTGAGAAAACTCTGTAAGATGAATGATCTGGGTTTTTTCAACAGTTAAACTAGAAAAAGGAAAGAAATAAACCTAAAAATGAAAGATACTTTAAAAAATACCTTTAAAAAACGAAATAAAACTAAGCTATAATATCCCTGTGTGATAAAACAATTTTTTTAAGATTTTATTTATTCATGAAAGACACAGAGAGAGAGGCAGGCTCCCCACAGGGAGCCTGATGTGGGACTTGATCCCAGGACCCCAGGATCACGACCTGAGCCAAAGGCAGACGCTCAACCACTGAGCCACCCAGATGCCCTGATAAAACAATTTTAAAAAGCAAGGATATGACTCTATAAAAAGCAGGACAGTGGTGGTTACTCTTAAGGGGAAATAAGGGGCTGTGTTTGGGAGAGGGCACTGTATTATATAAAAACGTTTCTCAATCTCATACTCTATAGTATAGTATCAGTAAAAGCAGAATGCTGAACCAAAATATAGAAAGAAATAAACAGAAACTAAATAGCGTAACATCACTTTTAATTACATTTAAAACTTTACAAAAATGCTTCCTTAAGCAATGACCAGGTGCAAAGTTTGCAAACAGTGAAGTACAGCTAGTGTGAAGTGCTTTGTGAGCACATACCTAAAATAACTACTCCTGTAATTACAAAAGTGCTGAGTTGAATTATATGCGCAAAAAGAAAGTGTAAAAAACAACAACAAAAAAAAATAAGAAACACACAAAAGACCTAGGTATAGACAGATCTCAACAAGATACAATTATACTGAGAAAAAATTGAGTGCTTCAAAGTAAAGGAATTTATGTATCTTGGTACATTTGCTGAGCATTTACTGCATACCAGAAATTATACTAGGTTCTAATAATAAGGGAAAATGCTTTAAAGTTCATTATATTTGGTCCTAAGCTTCCGTTCTCTGTAAATTTTCCTCCCTCACGTCTAGCTCTGGGGTATCCTTAAAACCTAGCCTTGTCTTTCTGTCAAACAAATTTACTTCATTAGTCAATTTCATGAAGGAGTTCTCCATACATCTCTGTCTTCACCCCAATATAGCAAATTCTGCTATCTTACCACATTACAGAAAGCGCTTTATCATAGGTTTAAAATGGCCTTAATTGTTTAACCTGGTGACCTCTTTCCAGAGCTCATGTTTTATTTGATATCCCCAAAACATCAGACATTGCCAGAGACTACATACCCCTTAATATTCCCTTTACCTTGCTTCTATTTCAGGATCTTAACATTTTTGCCAGTCACATCAACTCTTCCAACTACCCATAAACATTTGTATCCCTTGAGACTTTGCTCTCTGGCCTCTACTTTTCAATTTGACACTCCCAAGTTGGATTCAACTATTATTTCTAATATCCTTTTTTTGGCAAAAACTCTTGGCCCCATTCCAGACTTCCTTCCTGACCCCCAGGTCCAAAGCTCTGGGCACTTACTAAGCATCTAAGCCTAGATATCTCATGGGTACCTCAAACTCAACATATCCAAGGGAGACGGATTAGCCTTCTTGTCCCCTGACTCAAGACATTGAATCGCATGTGGTGGAATTCAGTTGATTCTACCTCTGAAATATCAATCAAATTTGCCCAGTTGTCTCCAGCCATTTTTACTATAGGCCTTTGAGGTGGTTCAGGACTTACTACCCTCAAAATGTGGCACCTTGGGATACTGAATAGTTAAGCTGAAGGAGTATGAGAAAACAGCAAAGCAGGTCACTCTGACCTTCGGCCTGCCCTTCTCCACTGAAATAGGTCATAAAACCCTGAGATAGTCCCTTCCTATACCTGGAAGAAAGGAGTATCTTCATCTCTGAAGACAAGGGGATGCAGAGAAGAATCCTAACAAGCTTTGATACACTTCTCCCAACCTATTATACTTATCTCATACTCTGACCCATCATATTGTCCTATGACTGTCTATTCTTCCTCAAACCAGCATAAAAATACTCAGGTTTAACTACTTCTTTGGATCTTCATTTCCTTATGAAGGATCCTGTGTCACATAAAATTTATATCAAATAAATTTATATGCTACTCTCCTGATATTCTGTCTTTATCAGTTTAATTTTCTGACTCAGTTCCCCTGTAACTTTTTTTCCTCTGAATAACCTTATTTTTAATCAAGACCAGACAAATGACCTCCTATCTTCTCTTGGCTACATTTTCTCTTCCTCCACATACTTTCTATAACAACACCAAAATTGTCCTTCTAAAGCAAAACTCAAATTATATAATTGCTCTGATTTTATTTGCAAAAAAGTATCTTATTTTTTTTAATTGTGGTATAAAAATACTTAACATGAGATCTACCATCCTAACCAATTTTAATTGTACCATAAGTGTAATCATCAATAATGACAATGTTGTACAGTAAATCTCTAAAACATAACTGTCTTGCATAACTGAAACTTAGTACCTTTGACTAATACCTCCCCAGTTCTGTCTCAACCAGCACCTGGTAACCACCATTCTACTGTTTGCTTCTAGGAGTTTAAATATTTCAGATGACTTATATCACAAGAGCCAAAATGTGGAAATAATCCTAATGATGAATGCCCCGAAAAAAGTGATATATACATACAATGGAACATCACCCACTTAAAAGGGATGGAAATTCGCAACATGTAACAACATGGATGAACCTGAAGGACACCAATTACAAGCGAAATATGCCAGCCAAGGGGAACAAATGCTGAATGACTGCACCCATATGGAGGGGTCTGCATTTCCAGTCTCTCTTCATAGCAGTTATGGTCTTTGTTGGTACTGCATCAATCCTTAGAAAAGCTGAACTAATTTGGTTTATCCCCTTACTGGAGTAAGAAAGGATATCTTAAAGTGAAGGAAGGGGCCACAGGAGGTCAAAATAAGATGTGTGGGAGATAGACCATCTATCAAAGTCTACAGAAAATTCTTTCATGTCCTGCAAACTCTGCTCAGTTGTTGCTTCAACGACAAAGTCTTTGGAGATTTCTTGAGTCTTCTCCCTAGGTCAGAACTGAGTGTCACTCATTACTGCTGGCTTCTGCCCAGCCTGAGTTTATGCTGGCAAAGCCACCCTGCTCAGATTGAGACCCAGGTCTTGCTGTAGGCCATGGAGTTGCCAGAGGTGGTGGAGGCCAGAACACCCAGAGAAGGCTATTTTGACCCCTGCATTATTTCTTTGGCACCCTGTGGGGCTGAAGACAGATCATCTTTCTTGCTGGAGAACTGGCAAGAAGGCACAGCAGCATTCTCACTCCTAGCAGGAAGCATTACAGAGATATTTACATTCCAGAAGGTGACTCTGGGGCACCACTCTCTTTTCAGTGATGCAGCTCACTGGAGCCTCCTAACATATGGGGAAGTTAGAATATGAATTATCATCCCCATTTCATAAGGGAGCAGTTCTGTATCAAGTTCCTTGCCTAAGGTTACTCGCAGGGCAACACAAAATATCTTTATGTTGGACACCTCAGTTTCCTCATTTGTAAAATGGCACAATATATATTCATGAGACTAAAGAAAGCATTAAATGAACTATCATAAGGAGAATTTTAGTGATATATTAACTGCTGGATAATTTCCTACTTAACTTCCTCTCAATATTGACCTCATTGGGGAATTTAACAAAAGCTATCATGTACTGCCTGAAGTTCTGTATTGCTCATATCATTTAATCTTTGTAGCAGTTCTATGAGATAAGTACCATTTTTATCATTCCTACTTTATAAAGGGGGAAGCTGAGGCAAAGAAAGATTAACTATCTTTCCTTAGGTCATATATCAGGATGATTATGAATACAAATTTGGGTGTGGCTGAGTCCAGATTCCCATAACCAACTATGTGTACC